AGTCGTGCATTAAAGTACCTGCAGTTAGCAGGTCGCTTCCTACTGTAGCCATTTGAATGGCACAGTTGGGAGTCCGCAAGACAATGTATTTCCTTTTCGTGACGGTACGACGAAGAACAGCTGGGTCGTTTGTCGGTTGTCGCACCTATGTCACATTGATGAGAACTAATAAGTCCGAAATCGGTCTGTGCCTGGTGGGTTAAACTGACAAACGATCCTAGCTATTGCACTAGATGTTGCGAGTATAATTCAATGCCGGTAGGGGCAAATAGCTCTCGGAGTAGTTATTTCTCGCAACACTGACAACTTATATATATATAGGGTTATACAGCAAGGAGTTCAAGTCAATCAATCAATTTACTTTTCGACACGGTTACTATTAATACGGCCACTCGATATGATGTCCAAATTCGACTGAGTTTCTAAAGTTCACTGTTACGGTTTGTTTGAATTTCACCTATGTTTTTAATGTCCGGACGGAACGGTACGGGTCTATTACGGTTCAATTGTTTACTGTCAATGGGTTACTACTTATCGTAGGTGCTACAGCCAGCCTCTAGTCCACCTCCGACGTCCGGGCTCCTGTATGCACTCTGCACTTAGTTTTAAATGTGACTCTACTTGGATTTATTATTAAAATAACTGTCTCACTCACCAACCAACCCTAACAAATGTTTTTCTTTGTCTTTTTCAGGTTTTTATATAGAACTACAGTGAAGCTGCAGGTCAGCGCAAATGGATAGGCCTACTTCAAGAACGGACACCGTCAGAAGAAACACATTTATTAGCTAAGTAAAAATTGGCAAATATTCCCTTCTTGGGAAGGGAATAGTAATCTCGTAACGGTTCTAAAAAGTGTTGGTACTCTTAAAAGGCACAATATGTGTGCACTTTATTGCTTAATAAAGAAATTATTCTTTCCGATTACAAAATTCGTTTGAATTTAGCACTACGTCTTTTACTATACTTAAAACAACTAAACCACAACCCTTTGGGTACAATATAACCAATATAACCTCGCTATCACAAAAAAAAACTAGATAACCTACAACTCTTCCTATCTCTAACTGTACTGACCGTAGATCTATCGAACGATTGTTGTAGACCGAAGGGCTACTATGCAAATGAACGAAACAAAATCGAAATCGAAATCGAAATTTGCGTTTTATACCACTATATATTTATATGAAGCCTTCAGCCAATCAGAATTCAGTATTTAATTCCTCGCAAAGTCGTGGACCAATCAGAATCGAGCATCGAAACCCTCAGTTTACTTTTGCTGTTTTTGATGAAACCTTCTAGAAAGTTCTAGAAAGATGATGAAATATTGCAAAGCATAATGTCACGATTGCTAATACGCAATAGTTAGGGGAAATTCACCCTTAAGGACCTAAAATTTCTAGATAAAAGGGATGGTTTTTCAGGGATGAAATCAGTTTATCGCCGAAGTTCAACAATTCAATACTAAGTTTACAACCAAGTTCTTCTCAAACAAATTACAAGTTAGTCTTCATCCGCAAGTACGGGGAATAAAGTGAAATCAATCTACGAAGTGATATTGTTGTGATTGCTCCGAGTTCTTACCTGTCTTCGACATACAAAGTCCGCCGGAACCTAAGTGCTCGTAAAATTGTCTAATTATCTTCAGTAATTAAAGAGTTGGATCGGAACTCAAACCGACAAAGTTTAGTAGTGCATTTTTTCGGAAAAGCCAAAAAGGATATACAGAGGATTACCTAAAAAAGTGGTTAGTAAAGCTCCGCGATTTTTTTATAATTAGTTGAATAAGTTTAGTAACGTTCATTTTCATATATACTTAGTACTCTTTTTTCTACGGTCTGGTAGTTTGAATTTGTTGTTTCCTGGATTTTCGTTGCAGAGATTATTCCAGTGAATCACTATTACTTATTGTTGTTAGATTAATAGGTTTTTAACTGTGTTAATCTCAGTGCCATTTTTCTCTTCAAGAAAAATATTATTTGTACCTTGTAATATATTTTATACCTTTTCTTAAACTTGTTTTTTCTGAAGAAAACCTTCACGAGTTTTATAATAATAATAATAAAAAATATTTTTTTTAGTCGAAAATAAATTTTCGAAAAGATTTTTGGATAATTTTTCAAAATAAATTTTTTTTTGGATTCAATATTTACTTTTCGCAGATAACCTCAGAAACATAATTTCTGAATAAAATTTTTTGAAGTCAAACTTAGGTTTTTTCAAAAAACTTCTTGATAATAATTTTTTGAAAATTTTTTTTTATAAAAAATTTTAAATTCAAAAGGGAACTTAACCCTTTATTTTTCAAGAAAAATATTTTTTCGAATTTATTTTTCCAACTTACCTTCAGGATCAGAAAGGATCCACAGTTATACAAGCCTGACCTAGATTTAAGAGGAATCCGGTTAGGAAACAAAAGTTTGTAGATTCACTATAAAATTTACTGGCGCCTGACATAAAATTTTTTAATTTTGTTTTTATTAAATTTAAATTCTTTTTAATTATCTCCCACTTTCCTCAATTTTTCTAAATTTTGATATTGCTCGGGCATTACTTTCTTTACTTCGAACCTATCTCGGATGAGATAGACCCCAACACCTACGAACTCCACGACCCGCTCTAAACTGTATCGGCGTTCTTGTTAAGGTCACAGCACTAGCCAAAGCTCAGACAACCCGTTCCGAGCCACAACTGGTGTAAAATATAGCAGGTACGTTGACATGACCCCCAGAACGTGGGGCTCGAAGTAATAATAATAATAAAGTGACCGCAAATAAAAAGTAGTGCCGTAACTAAACCAAAGGATTACGCGAGTGATACGAAATGTCGAAATCTAACGACGAAAGTATGAGACATGTGTCAATGGAACTGCTGGAAGACGTGCTATACAGGATAAGCCCCATCACTCCAGACTCCGAGATCTTTTTTAAGCCGAGAAAGCCAAGGAAAGACGAGGACCATGACGTAACCTTTTCCACCGTGTCTCGAGATGATCCTGCACAGCAAGTCGTCAATATGCTTGCTCAAGCTCTGCAGAATATCACTTCCGCTACTCCTAAAAGTAGACCCGCGTGCCAGTGTCATTATTATGGGTTTGACTATGAGAGACCCATGTACTTCATAAGCCGCCTCCAGGACTACTTTAACAAACACGACGTCATCGAGGACGATGAAAGGATTATTATAGCCATAGCCCAGTTACGCGGAAGCGCCAGGACTTGGTATGAGCCGTACCAACATTTAGCTATTACGTATGATGCCTTCGCCGAGAGGTTTTTAGCTAAATTTAATTCCACTACCGTCATAGCCGCTGCGAAGACACGACTATACGGAGAACGACAAAGCGAGAACGAGCCAGTCATGCTGTTCATCACGAAGAAGCAGAATCTATTTTCCAGATTTCAGGAAGCAGTACCTCAGAAGCTGGAAATTGGCGTCATTAAGGCTCTGCTACTACCCGAAATAAAGTATGGTCTCCAAGCGAGAGAGTTCACTGACATTGAGGAGTTCATCACCATTGCTGTCGAAATCGAGGAAAACGTCCGCGTTCAGGCCTTTAGGACCTCGGCCATCTACATCGCAACCCCGGGACGAAGACCGCCGACCTGCAGGACAGAACCAACGATCACCGCCCCCATGTCGCGAGTGCGAAGGACGACACTTCGGTCAAGAATGTCGAAATCGCCAGGGAAACGGACCAAGGGTCGGAGAAAACATCCCTCCTCGCAGCCCTCCGACCTCCTGCGAACAACCCTCAATAGTCAACGAAGTTTCGCCGCGCTTCGCCACCACCGCGACAACCGCGACGCAAGCGGAACTCGCGTTCGACGAGGATCCATTCTACCATTCGGAAGTAGAAGAACTTTTACCAGAACCATAACCACGAGTGCAACGCTGTACGCGAAAGAACCTTGCCGCGTCAAGTGTACCTCAACGAAAAGACTAAAGAAGCCCTTATCGACACCAGTGCACAGGACAACTACGTGCATGCCGATCAAGTGCCGATAGACAATAAGCCCATCTCGAGCGAAATGGAGCTCGCGTGTGCCGCAAAGACTATATCGGAAAAAGACTTTCCAGACGTCAATCACTTGCTGCCACCCTAGGCACCACCAAATAATAATCAAAACACCGTTAAGCAAATTCCTTGCCAAAAAGTATTTGACAAGATAAAGCAAGCCGCTTCTCGATTATTTGTGCTGCATCGCCCGGATTACAGTAAACCGTTTATTCTGCAAACTGACGCGAGCCAAACTGGACTTGGCGCCGTATTATTCCAAACCGATGATAACGAAGTGAAGATTATCTCCTACGCCAGTGCGACGTTGACGAGTACTGAACAGAAGTACCACATCAACGAGATAGAGACCCTAGCTGTTGTATGGGCCATTAAGAAGTATACGCATTACCTAGAGCACTTACCCTTTATTCTGGGACGGACAGTCGCTCTCTACTATGGTTGGAGAAGAATAAAGATGGTAATAGCAAACTTACTCGATAGTCGCTCTTGTTACAAACCTACAAGTTTCATCTCGAACACTGCCCTAGGAAAAGCAATCAACTTCCAGATTATCTAAGTCGACATCCGGACGCTACCTTAGAAAAGTACCTCCCCGACGTAGATCAATCGTTACTGTCAAATCACTCTCTTTGCAAGTCACTCTCTTCTTGCCGTTGGACAAACTACCCGTCTGTCCCGGCCTAAACACAGGGCTAATCACAAACGGCAGATATATAAAAATGAAAAACTTATGACTTTAGAAACTCTCTAATCTGACAACTGACAATAACTTACTTGATAGGTATCTGATTAAACATAGTAAAAATTATAAAATTATAACATACTCCCACCTGAGACACAGTTTTACAAACTGTTTCTCACCTAAATACAACTAACTTAAACTAACGTTCTTAAAATACAAATATCTTTGAGGACACTTTATTTTACGCCTGGCTTACATTAAGATCACCTGGATGATCTGGGTAATCGGCGGATTCTCTCACCCACGCACTATCCCGAACACTACCACAAACGCGATATGAATCAGCAACATCCTCTTGATTTCCTTTTTCAGAAGACTCAGGGTGCAACCTAGGAACCTTCGTTTTGTGAAAGCCACATCTCGTCGATCGTTATGGTTCCTCTCAACCGAATCATCAACGCACTCTAGTGGATATAACCGTTGTACAGGTCTTAGCAACTCTCCATGCGAGGTCCGAACTCTAACCAATCTAATCCGACCGTCTTTACCCGGTACAACGTCAATTACTTGTCCCATAGGCCATTCAACGCGCTTGTGAGAGTCATTACCTATAAGAACTATGTCCCCCGTTTTAATTGTCGCGTTCGATTTTGTTTCCCTAAGAGGTTTAAGCTGCCCTAAATATTCTAGCCTAAATCTATTTTTCAAATATTCACGCAACTTTTGTTTATTTCGCATACTACGCGTAAGACATATTTTTTCGACTAAATCACAATCGACAACGTTACAGCTAACCTGCTCCCGCAGGAACATAGCCGGTGACAATGTCACAGAATCATTATGATCGTTTGAAATATAAGTCAATGGTCGAGCATTTACCACGGCCTCACAATCACACAATAAGGTCATTAAGTCTTCATAACCTAAACTCGCTTTACCTAATACTTTACGCAGTAGGCGCTTTACTACACCGACTAACCTTTCAAAAGATCCTCCCCACCACGGCGCACTAGGGGGATTAAAACGCCACAAAATTCGTTGCGTATTAGTCTCTCGAGTTATAGCGTCCCAGTCTAGATTCGCGAAAGCGTTATCAGTCCCACGGAAATTAGTACCGTTATCGCTATACAAAATTCTGGGTCTGCCCCTCCGCGCGATGAACCTTCTCAAAACTTGTAAAAACTTAAGGGTGGATAATGACATTGTAAGTTCTAAGTGTACCGCGCGGTACACGGCACAGGTAAATAGGCACACCCACGCTTTCTCTCCAGATTTTAAATACAAAGGTCCGGCAAAATCGACCCCCGTAATCTCGAACGGAGCAGAATCACGCACTCTATCGCCAGGCAATGGAGGTGACTCTACCGCAAAAGGTTTAACATCAAATCTCTTACATGTGACACATTTCTTTAAGACCGAACGAATGGCTCTTCTGCCACCTATTATCCAATAACTCTCTCTGAGTAAACATAACAGTCCTTGCACCCCTACATGACAAGATTTCTGGTGTTTTTCCATAATTAACCTACAAATAATCGGATTCCTGCCAGTCATAATCACAGGATAACGATAATCAACAGTGACTCTTCTGTTCGAGACTCTTGACTTCAGTCTGATGACACCCTCACTGTCATAATAAGGACTTAGATTCTTTAATTTATTATCTTTTAGACCTTCAAATTCTTCCTGTTGTATCAGCTTAAAAATAAACTTCTGCGCAATCTATTTCATGCACACTCAGTTCCCTCTTATTTCTATCCTGTTTATGTCTACAATTGTGTACAAATCTGTGCAGCCAAGCAATCATTCTAACTGTCTTGGTATACTTGCTGAAGTACGTGAGGTAAAAGTCCACCTTTTCCTTTTCTAAGTTGATAAACGTCGTAACCTTCCTTTTATTTTCTTTGTTAACCTCCTCTTCATTAACAATTAAATTTGTAGATGGCCAACTTTCGACATTATTATACAGCCATGCTGGCCCCTCCCACCATTTCGATTCAACTAACTGTTTAGACGAACACCCTCGAGATGACAGGTCTGCCGGATTACATGTCCCTGGAATATGACGCCACTGAAGATTCGGTGTTAGCTTGCGTATTTCAATTACACGGTTATGTACAAACGTACCCCACTCTTCATTGCGTTGTAACCACGAGATCACTGTAGCCGAATCGCTCCAGAAGAAACTAGCAAAGCTACCTGTCAAATTTTCTACAACCTGAGTGTAAAGTCTCGCACCTATCGTCGCTGCCAATAGCTCTAGGCGTGGGATCGTCAAATTTCCTCTTCTCTTTTCTATCGGAGCCACCCTAGACTTAGCTGCCATCAAATGAACTGAAACATTGTCCAACTTTTTCACCCTAACGTAAACAACCGCTGCATACGCATTTCTGGACGCATCGACGAAGGTATGTATACTGACGTCTTCGGGATTTGCTCCACCAATTTCGCTCCAACGAGGGACTTATATCTGCAGAAGTTCTGGAAAATCTTTTACCCATTTTTTAAACTGCATCGCCACATCACCATTTACTTCAGTGTCCCAGGATATTTTTCTCCCACAAAATCTGTAGCCACAACTTGGGCAATAATGTCACAGGTGACGTAAACCCTATGGGGTCGAAGACCTTTTGGGCTATTGACAACAGTTTTCGCTTCGTTACAACACTTTCTCTGTCACAAGTAAGTAAATTTGGGTTTATAGTCAAAATATCTCTAGTCGTGAACCACTTCAAACCCAAAACTGAAATACCATCCGAACTGTTTGAGTTGCCAGAAAACTCCCACCCTCTAAGGTCGAATTGTGCCTCTGCCATGATCATGGTCGCTTCTTTAATAAACCGGTTCAAAACTTCTAAATCCGGCACACTTGCTACGCTATTGTCTACGTAGAAACTACGGGCGAGCTTTTCTATAGTTTCTTTCGCATATTCGCAACCTGGTAATAAACAATCTTCTTTACTCTTTTTTAGGTGATATTGGATCGTGGCACCCAACAAAAACGGACTGGAGTTTACTCCGAAGACCACTCTGTTGTGTATGTAAACTATTTCCTCACCTTTCTCATTAATCCACAAAAATTTCAAAAACTGACGGTCTCTCGGATTCACACTTGTCTGCAGAAACGCCTTATGTCAGCTATCGTATATTCTCTAAATCTGACCAACACCGCAGGTATCAGCTCAATCAAATTTTCCCCCTTCTCCAAACATTGGTTCAGCGATGGTTCATCTTTTCCATCAAAAACGGGTCTAACAGCCGTGGCAGAGCCTTCTTTAACAACCGGTCTATGTGGCAGAAAATGTCCAACATCACCTCTCGTAGTTTTCTCAATTATATTTAATCGCTCCCATTCTTCAAATACTGTTTTATATCTAGACATCAACCCATTTTTCTCTAGTTGTTTCACTGCGGTTTGAAGTCTGCGGTTGGCTATGTGGTAATTTGTGGGCAGGGGAGGGTGCCCCTCTAACCAAGGCAACCTGACCTCATATCTACCCACTATTACTGTCTCACAAAACAACTCTTTTGCTGCTAGGGCTTTTTCAATTTTCGTTTTTCTCTCTGTAGGTTCTTCTATCCCTAACACATCAAGTCGCCACAGTTCTGTAATTGAAGGGTTCGTAAACATCGATATTACAGTCATAGTTGTCGAATTCAGTGTAGGAACTTTGCCTTCGACAGTCCAACCAACATAAGTTTCATTTGCCACCAGTCCACATTTTAACAGATGTCTTTTCCCCATGTACAAAGATCCAATTACATCTGCTCTCAACAACATCTCAATTGGACCCTGACTTTTGCAATCGGAAACTTCCACGTTAAGTACTTTTAGTTCTTGTATCCAAGGTCCATAAAATAATGGAGAAACCTCGTTACAAATCTGAGCCTGATCTAGAACTTCAAACGTTTTCCTGTAGTCCCCTTTGGAAATTGTAACGTCATAACAATAATGCACTTGTTCCATCTCCGTTCCTCCAAAAAGGCAATGTACAATTTTTTCTGCTTTCTTGGGTTTGAGACTGAGTGACGATACAATAGACTTCAAAATGTACGATCGCTGTGAACCTGTGTCAATAAGCGCTCTCACACTTACCATACCTGATTGACCTTTAACCTTAAAATTTACAGTTTGTAGAAACACGTAGGAACTTGTTTGATTGGACATCACCTGATCCCTTTTAACATTATCTTGCTCGCTCGAACTCTCCTTTTGCTGTGGAGAAGTTTTCTTTTCAGCTAAACCTAAACACATCAGTGGTACATGCGAATATCCGCAAACAATACATTTCAAGCGAGACCGATATTTTTTAGATATATGCCCTGCCTTTAAACACTTAAAACAAGCTCCTTTTTCTAATACAATACGTTTGCGCTCTTCTAGTGTCATCTTTTGTGCCTTAAAACATTTGTCAGTCTCGTGAACACCGGTACAAAATATACATTTGACAACATCGACATTTACTAAACCGGCCGCAGTAAACGTCGAATTGTTTAACAATTTAGACCCATTTCTTTTACTAAATTGGTTAGCCGTACCGGACCTTGTTTTAAAATTATCAGCTAAACCGAAACCCTCGCTTGCTAAGTCTATCCGTTGTTCATTTTCGACCTCAGCGCGTAAAAAACTTAAAAGGTTTCCAAGCCTAACTTCTAATGGAGAGTCACCTACGGATGCTACTGGTTCATTGTTACCACTACTCGCGCTATTATTTGTTCCAAACCACGCGAATTAAAAGCCGATCTTTGCCATATTCGTAAAAGTTCTTGTGGCAAACAAGATTCAATCAACGGAAACAAAAGCGCTGCGTACTTGTCTGACGTAATCCCCAACGTGTCCAGCGCCCTTAACTGAGTCTCAATTAAATCGTACAATTTCGACAAATCCTGCTTTTCATTTGATACGGCGTTGTTTAAAACCAATTTTAACAATTCGCGCACGTATACTTCAATTTGTAGGTCCTCACGCCCGAATCTCGCAGTCAAACAGTCAATAATCTTTTCATAATTCTCATCGAGCACGGGAAAACTTTCTACAATCTGTCGCGCACGACTTCCCGCAACTGTAGCCTGTATCAAATAGTCTATCTTATCGCAATTATCCAACTGAGTATCAGCATGAATTTTCCTGAACTGAGACCAGAACGGTAACCAGTCTTTAATATTTCCATCGTACTGCTTAAACTGAATAGCTGGTAACTTAAATTTTCTCTTACCTCGTACGACGTCATCATAACCTACTTGACTATCAGAAGTTTGTACTGACCCGTTTACTGACCCAGCATTATCTACAGGTTCCAACAGCTTGTCAACTTTTAACTTAAGTGTGGCGAACTTCTTCGTATAGCCTTCACATTGTTCAATGTCTAACAACAGTTGTTTCTCAGTAGCTTGTGCCTCCAACAACAAATTATACACTTCAGAGTTCATCACGCTGAGTTCATCAAACTTAGGCTTTACGCATTCCCAGGCAACCTCTATGTCCTCCAGCACGATAGGACTTTTCGTTAACAGAGTGTGTAATTCGTTCAATGATTTTGTAACAAAAGATCGGAGTACTTTCCTATGCTTTTTCTTAGACTCCATTGAATCAGCCATAATACCTAACTTCCTCGCAATTGATTCTATTTAATGTTACAGGTACAACGTTTTTCACACCGATTTCGCCGACTTGTAACCGCCTGCAAAGTCCTGTCACGGTCGCCACAAACTATGTCAAGTCACTCTCTTTGCAAGTCACTCTCTTCTTGCCGTTGGACAAACTACCCGTCTGTCCCGGCCTAAACACAGGGCTAATCACAAACGGCAGATATATAAAAATGAAAAACTTATGACTTTTTAGAAACTCTCTAATCTGACAACTGATAATAACTTACTTGATAGGTATCTGATTAAACATAGTAAAAAATTATAAAATTATAACAGTTACCACCGGAAAAACGGAAAGTAAATCAAATCGCCGCCAAGCAGATAAAATGTTTAGACATTATCCCCACGCTTTGTGAAGCCCAGGAAGAGAAATATGTGAAGAACTGTCTAGTCTGCGCAAGGAAGAAAGCTAAACAATTTAAGGCATCCGTGCCAATGAAACCACAAATTTCGCCGGGATCTTTCCTAATAAAAAATCTCAACCCTTTGGGACCTTACCCAGAGAACCACCGAAAAAGAGTTCGGTTAAAATAATCGATTTTGAGTTTTAGACTTGACAACCCAATTTCGACGACCCCAATTCCGACAACTCCATATACTATATGTATATGGATGACATACGCCCCGCACCACTAGGGCACGAAGATGCCCAGTCCGAATGCTCTACAAGTTCCTCAACTGGACCTCTAGGCAGCGGTAGCTCCCGTAGTCGCCAGTCAGAAGCCAAGGATCACACAGGGTCGAAATCCGCTGGTTTGGATGAACTTCCTGCCGATAGCGACGCTTCCCGATCCCAGAGCCTGATATCCTACCAGGACGCTATAGCTTCGGTTGTACCTGTTCGGAATAAGAGACGTTCGCGAATGGTAGTCATCGATACAGATTAGGTAACATACATGTAGCGGTATATTACGTCAAATTCAAGTCGATTAGTAACGTCGGAACGTAAATTAGTCAAATATTTTGTATAAATTTTTAGAAACATCGGTGAAAATTACCGTTTGCCGTTTGTTCGTCTTTGTAAATATTAGTTTTAAAAATCTTTTAGTTTAAGGATTTAGATTTTAAGATGTTGTGAACCGTAAGTCGGTAGAAAAAAGTGTAAAAAAAGGAGGGGGGTGTTGCAGACCGAAGGGCTACTAGGGCTACTATGCAAATGAACGAAACAAAATCGAAATTTGCGTTTTATACCACTTTATATATTTATATGATGCCTTCAGCCAATCAGAATTCAGTATTTAATTCCTCGCAAAGTCGTGGACCAATCAGAATCGAGCATCGAAACCCTCAGTTTACTTTTGCTGTTTTTGATGAAACCTTCTAGAAAGTTCTAGAAAGATGATGAAATCTGATGAAATATTGCAAAGCATGATGTCAAGATTGCTAATACGCAATAGTTAGGGGAAATTCACCCTTAAGGAACTAAAATTTCTAGATAAAAGGGATGGTTTTTCAGTGCATTTTTTCGGAAAAGCCGAAAAAGATATACAGAGGTTTACCTAAAAAGTGGTTAGTAAAGCTCCGCGATTTTTTTGTAATTAGTTGAATAAGTTTAGTAACGTTCATTTTCATATATACCTATACTCGGCGGCCGAAATTATAAAGAGTGACTAATACATAATATATAAACACTATTACCATAATGCGTATAAAATATAAAATGATTTCTATACGGTTCAATATTATTTATCTTTGTGCCGCTCGCCATGCACATCGGTAGAATCTATAATCGTGTATAGACTGAGTTACACTGAACGTCGATCTATATTTTATCTCTGTCTTTTGCACTTGGTAGGGAATAGGGAAANCAAATCTTCGAAAGTAACCTTGTGTGATTGCTCCGAGTCTTGCTAGTCTTCGACATACAAAGTGCTCGTTAAATTGTCTAATTACCTTCAGTAATTAAAGAGTTGGATCGGAACTGAAACCGACATAGAAAGTTAGTGCAGTTTTTCGGAAAAGCCGAAAGGATTATACAGAGGATTACATAAAAAGTGGTTAGTAGAATTCCGCGATTTTTTTGTAATTAGTTTGAATAAGTTTAGTAACGTTCATTTTCATATACCTAGTACTCTTTTTTCTACGGTCTGGTAGTTGAATTTGTTGTTTCCTGGATTTTCGTTGCAGAGATTATTCCAGTGAATCACTATTACTTATTGTTCTTAAATTAATAGGTTTTTAACAGTGTTAATCTCAGTGCCATTTTTCTCTTCAAGAAAAATATTATTTGTACCTTGTAATATATTTTATACCTTTTCTTAAACATGTTTTTTCTGAAGAAAACCACGAGTTTTTTAATAATAATAATAATAATAAATATTTTTTTAGTCGAAAATAAATTTTCGAAAAAAGATTTTTGGATAATTTTTCAAAATAAAATTTTTTTTAGAACTCAAAATTTACTTTTCGCATATAACCCTAGAAATATATTTTCTGAATAAACTTTTTTTTAGTCAGACTTAAGTTCTTTTCCAAAAAACTTCTTGATAATAACTTTTTGAAAATTTTTTTTATATAAAAAATTTTAAATTTAAAAGGGAACAGTCCTTTATTTTCAAGGAAAATACTTTTGCATAAATTATTTTTCCAACTCACCTCAAGGATCAGAAAGGATCCACAGTCAACTCTTATATACATACCTGACTTAGATTTAAGAGGAATCCGGTTAGGAAATTAAAGTTTGTAGATTCACTTCAAAATTTACTGGCGCCTGACATAAACAAAAATTTTTAATTTAATTTCGTTTTGAATCATCTACTTTCCTCAATTTTTCTAAATTTTGATATTGCTCGGGCATTACTTTCATTTCTTCGAACCTATCTCAGTGGAGATAGACCCCAACACCTATGAACCTCACGACCCGCTCTAACTGTATCGGCGTTTAAGTTAAGGTCACAGCACTAGCGAAAGTTCGAACTACTCATACCGAGACAGAGTTAGTGTTCACAAACTCGAGCGTTGACATAGCGACGCAACGTGGGGCTTGAAGTAGTTATACGAGCCCAAGTTAGTGTAAAAATAAACCGTAATACGTTGACACGATCGTCTTTTTACACTGGGACCACAGGTCACGCCCCAAAAACCGATTTCAACCAATGAGGGCGCTTCTATCAAAATCCGCAGATTTTCTCGCGGTCGGCCCGACAGTACAGGGTGAGTTTTTTTAATGTTTAGGGTAGAGATCTGGCAAAGTAGCAGAGATACAAAAAACCTCAAATGAGGAAAGATGTGCAGTTTTATGATCCTTTGTTGTTGTTTCTTTTATTTTTTGAAAAAACGTCATGGCTGACTAGATATTTGGAAACATCCCAATTCGGTCAATTCCTTCAGATGCGTGTAGCTCCGTTGCTATTTATTTTACAAAAAAATTAAATTACAAAGTTTCAGGTTTTTGCAGTGTTAATAAGATAGTGTGATCAAATTGTTCGTGTACAATTTCGTTTTCAAGTTATAAAATAAACTTCAAGTTTTTTAAACGTAAACCATAGTTAGCTATGAACTAGAAAAACTTGTCTTTTTTATGATTTCCTACTCGGTACTGTTATTTTGAAAAATTGGAGAACTGCAGTCGTTTTTAACTTTTCAATTGCTCGATGACGTAGATGGCTGTGAAAACAATCGAAGTGTTTACTGACAACGCTTTTAGTTACTGTAGCATTATTTGGTAGTTACTTTTCTTCCTTAAAAGTCGTTTCAATTGCCAAAGGCAGGCTGTTGTTGATGTCGACACGAAATTCAATT